CAGAGATATCTCTACGTCTCTGACACTAAAAAACATGAAGTAAAACGATATCAAGTTGGAGATAAGAGTGGAAATATCGTAGCCGGTGGGTATGGGTGGGTGTTCGTGTTGGTGTGTGTGTAGGTGTCAGTGTGGATATGGGTGTGGGTGCAGGTGTGAGTGCGGGTGTGGATGAAAACAAGACGCAACACCTATACCCACACCCACACACTCACACCCACGCTCGCCACGACACCACCAGGATGGTTCCCAGTCGCGCGTGCGCATGAACAGAATTTTAGAAATTTTTTTCGATGCGAATGCAGTTTATTGAATAGAAAAAAATTGAATTCGATTATTATTGAAATCGATGGCAAAGAGATCAGCCTGTCGATTGAAGGATAAACCACTGAGACGATTGAACTGATTTGCTCTTGCTCCTTCACCATTTCCACCCACAATGATAGCGCCCTGTTTTGCATCTTTAGGCCAACTCATCACCCGATGATTCCCAGAATCTGCCACATAAATGGTACCCAACATATCGACGAAAAGTCCATTAGGACCATCTAATTGTTCCAGAGCATTCCCTCGACCTTGGCCCCCAGCGACGACAATGCCTTCTTTTGCACCTTTATTCCATTTCATCACACGATGATTGCTCCAGTCTGACACGCAGACATTCTGTTGTTGATCGACAAAGAGGTAGGCCGGAAAGTTAAGTTGATTGAGATCACTACCTTTGCCATTCCCACCGGCTACGATATTTCCACTCTTATCTCCTACTTGATATCGTTTTACTTCATGTTTTTTAGTGTCAGAGACGTAGAGATATCTCTGATCATCCATGAACAATCCCCAACAATAGATGTTGTCAATGAGGATTTTACCTTCAGTTGTGTCAATACGACGAGACCATCGTACAACTCGTTTATTTTCCCTATCGCAGATAATGAGACTATTAGTCTCTTTGTCGATTAGCGCATCGGTTGGACGATTCAATTGATCCAATCGATTTCCGTAGCTTTCTCCACCAACTAACACTTTACCATTCCTATCACCCATCTTCCATTGAACGATACGATGATTGAACGAGTCTGTGATGATCATTATTTGATCATCCTGAATGAAGAGACCTTCAGGATGGTAGAATTGATTGGTGGCATTACCTTCTCCATTTCCTCCAGCAACAGTCTCTCCATTCTGTGACCATCGAGCATCAACTGGAATATTGGGAATAACTACAATAAACAATGAAAAAGAAAATCAATCGTCATTATCAAAGAGATCTTCGCCTCTCATATACGAGAAAGTAATTCAAATAAGACAGTCTTTCCGTAACTTGGTCTTTAAAAAAAAACTTCGTAGGAATTCTTTCAATGTCAATGATTATTTATTACATCTAAAATGTAAAACTTCCGAGAAAAAAATCATTTTTAGATATGCTATTTACTTGCTTAACAAGAAATTCTAAAACGGTTTCCATATTCTACTAAAACTTATTTTCAGTCTGTAGCTCATTGTCACGTGGATAACCGAACAACTCATCGCATGGACAATTCCTTGTAAGATAATTCTTCGTAATGATATAATCCAATCGTAGTTTATATATTTTTCTCTACAATGAAGCGACTTATTCAATTAAGTTTGAAACATACAATTTAATGACTAAAAATTATTGAAAATACTACTCATACCGAAATTTCAAGTTTTGATCTCGAGATGAGCCACTAAAAAGAATCCTACGAAGAAAAAAAATCGGACCCTTTTTCTGCTTTATAATTAATGTCAATAACAAGTAAAAAGTCCTCGATTACGAGATCTCATCAAAACTATTTCTGAAATTGTGTAAATCCTTGATCACAAGTAACAGATGATGATTGCTAAAGAAGCAGAATTTGTACATTGCATGCGATGATTAAAATACAGAACTTCAATAGAAGTTAGTTTTTCCCGATGATGTTAACATTGCTCCTCTTTAGGAAATGCTAAATTTCGCTAGTTCTTTCAAAGTATTGTCTCATTGTCAGAAGCTTTGAGCTGAACTGTAAATTAAGAAAAATGCAATGTCAGTCTCGGTGATATAGAAAAACTTTCATTAGTTGTATAGCTTAGATAGGTTAATTTTTTATCCAGAAAACAACATTATCTTACTTTTCGAGATCGCTAATGGAAGCTTCGCTATGAGTAATATTTTGAATAACTTTTTTAGTCATTAGATTACATGTTTCAAACTGAATTGAGTAAGTCGCTTCATTGCTGAGAAAAATACATAAACTATGATTGGATTATATAGTTACGAAGAATTGTCCTAGCACCATCATATAATATGAAATGTTCAAAAAAAGTAAAACCTCTTTCACTCCTTTACTCTGACTCGGTCACTACACGAAAGAGGAAGAATAGCTACTCACATATGTACAGATGGCTGTACGACATACGAGTTCTCGATTATCACATGTTTTTTAATGTATTATATATATTCGAACGTCACACTGCCATGAGAAATTTCAGCGCTCTAGCTCATGCGTACTGTAGCTAAGCTATAAAACTTACAATGTATAAAAATCATATTTTTCAAAAACATGAAGGGGTGACGGAACGCTTTGAAATTGAATGAGGCTCAATGAAAGTTTATTTGCTCTCCTAAAACGGTATTTCACATATCAGCATGAGTTAATTTGAGCGAATTTCAGATGATAACTCGTTTCAGACTATTTAATTGTTTTGCTGTCAGAAAATTATTGTGCTAAATTCTTCTGTTTTTTGCCGGTAAAGTTTCTAAATCTTTATAGAAGGACGACAATTTCAAAAACTATAACAACTATTTATTGCATATTAGAACATAAAACCAAAAAAGCTGCTCTTTTTTCATTTGGCGATACAAGAGGAGCAGTTAGTATTACAGAAGATTCTTTACGGGCTTTGTCTATTTTAGTAAAATACTCCAACATTGATTCAGGACATCGTTTTCATGATATTATTGTTTATCTGTTTAGTATTCATATAAAGATGAAATCAAATTTTGCTTAGCAAGACTAATATAATAGAATTGTCCACATTGCATTCCACTGAATACGTTAACGATAATGACAGGACACTCAAATATAGCTAATTTTGATGTCTTTTGATCGCATAATTCTACAATTGATCTAGTATACATACGACTTTATTTAAATGAGATAAAATGCATTGCTGTAAACTGTAAAAACAGAGTGAGTGAATTTATTATTGTCTGACTTTTTTAGTTTTTTTTATCATGAAATATAAATAAACGTATTGGAAGTGCGAATTTTCAGACGGAAATAATATTCAACTATAGCAAAGCTAGAAACTTCTGAGGTTCTATATAAGTGCAACAAAATGAGCAAAATTATCAAACAAAAAACATAATTAATTGTTGTCATCTTGTTTTGATCTAATTAGTACATTTGAACAGAGATGTTTGATATTATACAGTTACGCAAGACGACCGGTTTGCTAATCTTTATATCAATAGTTGATTTTTTATTTAATAAAATTAGTTGAATTTTCGATTCATCAAAAATACGATTACTAAATGAGATATGAACTAAGAAAGTTGCACTTTTTATTTTCGAATCATATATTATTGAGATTTAAAAGAACATGAATAGTTCTTTAATATACACACGATTCACGTTATGCTCTCAAATTTTTATCATGCTATTGATTGCATTTCTATTTGACATATATTTTGTCTCTACTGATTGTACAAAATATTTTTTTTATAAATGTAGTATACAAATTTTTCGTTTTGAAAAAATATATATAAGAACATAATATAAAATCTCATTTGAGTTCCTTTCGGTCGTACTATAGATTTCCACTTCCAAGTGAATTGAATCTTGCAAAAATATCTTATACAACGAATTATTGTCTACAAGTTTCTTACTTCTAGATAGAACACGGTTTAAAAGTCAGTAACATATTTTTCTTTATCAATGATAGCACTGAAAACAAAAATGCTGTATTCTTGAAATCTGTTGAAAATTTCTTTAATTTTGATAAAAAATTCTTAAGTCAAAAAGGATTTCAAACAAAGTTTGATGTGATGCTTTCATAGGTATTTTGAAAAAATAATAGGTTCGGGTGTATTGTACTTATAAGTGATCGTTGTCTACATTCATAGAACTTATGTTCTTATTTTTTCTCATGTATCATATACGATCCAGTAGACATTAAATAAGTATTTGATACTCCCCATATATCATATAGATTCTCGCATAGCTTTTTATGTTCAACTCAAATATGTTATCAGATTTTTAGTTTACGAAAAATGCAAGTTTCTATGCATAATAATCATCATAACAAAACATATTTACATTGTTCGAGCTATATATTAGTGGAAATAGAGTTAAATATTAAATAATTTTACCATCCAAGTGATCAGCACAACAAGATCTAAAAGCTCCAATGAGGTTTCGAGATGGCTATGGAACTATATGGCCAGATCTTCTTAGCTTACTGATTAAAACTTTCTGAAAAATTTCAGTATGATGGCTTTGACAGTCCTTCCCTTCAAAATTATTTCCGTTTATTCCAACTTTCTCATTGACTTTCCGAATCCTTTTTCTCTGCAGCGCATTACATTGTGAATAAGTAACTCCTTCAAAAATGCTTGAAGATTCTTTTTAATTCTTAGAGATTCTGATGCAGTTTTTCTCGAGAGATTTGAATCTGTAATTGGTTTTAAAATTTGAAAAATAACTATTGACTTTGGTTGTGTTTTTTATAAGCTACAATTTCCATTTATTGTATAAAAATATACAAATAGCATTTGACCCGCATTTGTACGAAAGTAGGGTCAAACACCTTAAGAAATTTATCACCAAAGTGATCAGTGGAGATGTATCCAATTAATTCTTTTTAAGTAGTAACTAAATCGATTTGTATGGATGGATAAGTGAGTTTTTTCAGCAGTTGTCTGACTGTGTTATGGGATGATCGATTTCTAAGCTTCTTAACTAATGGAAAATATAAGAAAAAAATAATTTCAAATTACTTGAATGTTTTTCTTTTATATCAAGAATGCAGATTTCTTTAAATTATTTTAAGTAGTTTTTTTTTTATTTCTTTTTCTAAAACAAAGATTAAAGAAAATTACTCACATAGCTTTGTACAACGCAACTATTTCTATCAAACCATAGAAAGAAGAAAGTTTACTGCAATTTTCAAGTAATTAGATATCGATTTAGTTCACTAGAACTCATCATAGCATAAGCAGATATATGGTTGCTCAAGTTTATTGTGCAGATAGGATGAGACTGGGAGTGTAGATGTTTATACTGTGCTTATATCCAGACCTATTCACATTTACATCCACCATGAAAGTAAAACTTCTCAGTTGCAGAAATTTCTATTCAAACTAAAATATTATTAATATACTTGTTAATGTATCCTCTGTAGAAATCAATGTATGAAACTCACATCCTTTCACTTTTATCAATGAATCAAAATTATCACGATTTTTCATTGTAAAAACTTCTTTGTATTGTTAGATACGTCATCAATACATAAAGTTCCCTTCCCCGAATAATGGTAGATATATAATACATGCCATAGACTCTAGATCTTTGAGAAAGATATGTAATGGACAGGAGTGAAGGACCTCAATAACAGCCGTGAATCATCGAAATCCAATGAATTAAAGAAATTCCAAGATTTCAAAACACGTCAATGAAGTGTGGGAACTCATGAAACAGATAAAACCATAAAAAAACACCGCATTATACTTATAAACAAGATCATGAAAAAGCAACGTCTCTTCAAGCACTCAAATAATGAATGGAACTTTAAATTTTCATTATTTCATTGTAATTTCATCAAGATTTGAGTTGCTGAACGAAACAGAGAAACTATATATACTTTTACATACAAAATTTCAATATAGTTTCTGAGACAACACATCCTATCGATTAAAATACGCTGATTCAGAATCATAGAATTTTCTGTTCTAGTACTTTTCTGCACAATCTAAAACCTAAGTTTACGTACAAACGCTTGTTCTGTTCGTCGAGACAAAGCGAGAGTACGATGTTTTCTTAAAACACTAATTTGTTTCATTTGTTTATTTGAAAACTATTCCTATGTTTTTACTGGCATATGTTGGTAGAAATATCAGGAACGTAAACTCCTACTTTTATCAGCGAAATAAAATTTCAGACTAAGAACGAATTGTGGCATTTATTTCAAAACATCGAGTAACTACACATGAGAGTACTGTTGACATGCGAGCAAAATTCTTCAGAATACGATTATATAACCTTAGAATTTCTCCTATTCACTCATTGCATCTAAAAAATATCAGTGATTTCAAAGAAATAAATTGCATGACCAATAATCAATCTCATATTGAAGGCATTCATCATCAGTATCCTACCTCTATTTTCTCGAGGGTCGATCTTCATAGTCGATATCTAAAAGTATAAGATATTTAATGAATATCCGTTTTTTCGAATGATTTTCATCTAACCCGTGGAATAATGGAACTAATTTGATTGCTTTCCGTACGAACACTGACTGCTGGAGCTGTGCTGTCCTATGAACAAAAGAAAATAGTTATGAAAGAAGAACAGAGCACTAATATATTCTTGAAATTACTCGGACTTCGCTGGAGTGTATTCTACTTCTTGCTTGGTTTGTAGTTCCTGTACTTGTAGTCAAAGCATCTATAATATAAGACTATCATTCATCTTCTCTTCACCAAAGTCGACCCACACCCTACTCTTGTTTCAAGAAATGGATAGGATTACTTTATTCTTACTACATAAATATTCGCTAAGATAATAAAATTATTTCCATTTAACCACAAAAAAATAGCAATAGATGATCGAATAAGTTCTTCATGATAATTTATAATATTTCACGAGACTTTTTCAATACTTTTTTCAATTGACTTATGTTTATTTCCACGAATATTGAAAATCAATAACAAAATATAAATAGGGAAAACAAAAATGGAAACTCCATTTAGATAATTGAAACTTTTTAAAAATAAATTATCTATGAAGTGAAATGTTTATTTTATTAGAGATAGCTGGAAATGTTCCTGAAAACTGTTAATTATTTCTTTTAATAAATACGTTTTCTTTTCAAAATATCATATTCAAAAGAGTGCTTGACGCTGGAAGTCTTTCAAAACGATCGTTTTACGAAACATGAAATCCATAAAGCGTTCATACGAACATTATTAATAGTCTTGCATACAATAAATGTTTCTATTCATATGTCTAACTTTTAGAGAGTTTTATTTTTCTAAATGAAGTTCGGTGTTTTTACTTTTTCTATGCACGTCGTTTTATTTCTTTCGAATAATGTGAAAAAAAAATAGTTCAATTTGAAAAGTCGTCCAAAATTTTTCTACCGATATTCTATAATAGCATAAAAAAATCAAAGATTTCTTCAGAAAAAACACTAACAATTCTAAACAAATCTGCGCTTTTTTTTTATAAACGTCCTTCAATGATAATCATACTTATTCAAGTGTACTACACACTTATAACAAAGTTCACGTTACAATTTATTTTGGAATGATTTCATTCACAAAAAAAGCCTCGAATACTAGACTTCGATCAAATTTCATAGTTCGTTTACGAATTTATTATTGTTCTCTTTTTACGCACACATAAATCAAGTCCAAATACAATTTTCATATCTTTGATTTATAGAAATTCTCATTTACTCTATTCAATTACTCAAGTATGTGTCACAGAAATGTTGTGAATAATTTGTCTTATTCTTTGGAACACATTCTATTATTATGAATCACATAAAAGTTTGAGTCTGACTGATATTTTCTTTTGTTCTCAAGTAGCATCCATTTGTGTTTATGATGTGAACGCTTGCTAAGTAAATTAAACATGTCAGAACTAGAATAGAAAATTCTCTATAGATTGTAGACAACAAGACAGTACAGAAGACTTCAAGTCTTATAATCTATTAATGGCTTTGATTGTGGGAAATTACAAACTGAGAGAATAGTGTGTACATCTTCGAGCCATACAAGTAAATTGAATGGTTTTACATGAAGAAGGTATCGACGACCGATTTGAAACAAGAAGAGCAGATAAATACAAATCGAACACATTTTAATCATAGCTCTGAAATCCCGATTATTCAACAATGATAATTATAATCATGCATTGTGACAGCAATATTGATGAAAGATAATATTTAGACTGAGAATCATACAAAAAGAAAAAGCAAGTCTTTTACTCTTTGATTTTGGGATATAGGTTTGTAAATTAATGTTAAACTATGTAAAAATAAAAGTGATAGGCATGTACCTTTGAAGATTTATATCATTTTTATATGTTTCATCATGAAATCTTCTAATGCGCTCTATTTAAAGATTATTTTTGTTGCAAAAGAACTTCTGAGAAAAAATACCAAATATATGTATTGCCTCTCGATTAAAATGTTAAAACGATTTTAATTTGAATAGTTAGCCAAACATCGTTCTCTGACTACCAGTAGAAACTGATCTAAATCTTAACAATATGTCATCACACTGAATTATAACATGATCCACTGTTTAGCGCTAACCTTTAAACACCTGCGAGCAGTTTCCTGATACAGTGTCGATATTAGGCTGAACGAAAGATTTTTCAATAATCTGACATATAGTACAAAGATCCATACATCGCTGTATACCAAAATAATAAACCGTTAATTTAATCTTCTAAGCATGATAAGACTTTTAAATTCTTGACGCATCTATATTTCGATTAATACTTGTACAAGAAGATACTCGGGTGAATTGGTCATATAGTAGTGACTAACGCTTTTTTTTGGATTTCTCGCACAAAACTCTATGTTATCACGAAAGGTAAGTGTTTGAACACATGTTTATCGAAAGAATATTTCTGTAAAACAAATAAATCGTTCACTTCGAATGTGAAAATACTTCATCAATTATAATGTTCACTTAGACATGAATATTCGATTGATTTCTTTAGCTTCTAGTGATTAAAATCAATAAAAAATGGTCAGTTTATATTGAACCTGTAGTCTACCTAAGTCGAATCGAATTGATTAATATTAGAATTTTCTAATTTGTTTCGAGCTCGAGAGAGTTTTCTTGAAGTTTCGTACAATAAAAGTAATATAAGATTGTACTCACTTTTTCATGAGGTTTCGATGTTAAATGAAATGAAAAGAGAAATTCAAGAGGAAATACATTTCCTACAAACCTTGATTGAAATAAAAATCTTCTGTTAAACATGAATGAATCCATGGTCGTTGTTGACCCAGTGAATTTTGTAACATTTCTTTTCTAACTTGCTTCATCATACCATCAAGTTCTAATTGTGGTGCTGCTAAATGATTTAACAGTACCGATGTAAAGAAACTATTTCCACCTTCTTCACCAGCATAAGATATTGTACCAGGATCAGATGAAAATATCAAAGCAAATTGTGATTCTTGTGGTATGTTCACATGTGACGTTAATGCTTTACCAAATGCTGGTTTAAGATTTGCTAGTTTACTACTAGCTTTTATTCTCCAAGTATCATTGTCTTCATCAAATCGACAAGCGTCCAAAATAATAATGTTTAAAAGATTATTTCCAGAACGATTCAGATTCTTCAGCATACTATCCAAACTTATACAATCAAACTCCGGATCATGTACCGGTTCGATTGGCAGTAAATAGTTCTTACCCTGCAATTAATATATGAAAATGATAGGAATTATCGAAAGGTGTGAATGTTCGCTTTCTTGATATTCATATTCTTGAGTAGTCATTTAGTAATCTTGAACTACACTCTTTTGATGAGCAAATTTATCCTAGGCTTTTCAATTCCTTGAAGTAAGAGTCTCTTTATAAATGTCTCTTCAATGGATTGTTCTTTTTTATGTGGTTGTTACGCTTGGTGTGAAAGAGACTATCGCTGTCTGTCTATTCATTGATACTAGAAGAATTGAATTAGTAAAATTTACTTTGTCCCGATTTTCGTAGGACATGATGTATATCAATGACAATACTGCTCATTTGTGTACAGAGTTCACTCATCATAATGAATACTTTTGTGAATAAAATGCCCCTATACTTTTAGTACAGTTAGGTCTAACTAATATTGATAAATGCAGTAAATTTGGCAGTTGATTTCTTATCATCAATTAATTTATTGATAACACTTGGAAAACTGAACTGCTTCTTTGATTGAAAATCTTTTGCACTTCTGTACGGAAAGCATGAGAGGATGTGACTGCGGATGGGAGATTTGGTATCTTACTTCACATCTGCACTCATACCCACACCCTTATTTACCACTGTATGTCTATTCTCAGACTTTGAAACTTTGCCATTCATTGTACTTCTTACTTTCTTGTAAACTCGTGACACAACTTTTTTCATATCGCTTTTGATTTCTCAGGAAAGCATCTTGAACTTGTAATTCAACATGGCATGTAACTTGGTTTAACGTATTAGAAAAGCCATGCCAATTTAGTAAATAGATGCAGCTCTTTCAAATCAACCTTCAATCACTCTAATTGATAAATCTATGAGTGCTATTTCAGTGATGATTGAAAATTATTCTCATGGAACATAGATATGAATAAAAAAAGATGCTGAGAATCATTTAGTGAGAAGTTATTTCAATTTATTCTGTCACTTAAGTCTTCTATAGAGTATTTAGCTTAGTAGCTTAATTATTAGGTAATGGACGACTCAAAATTTAGTTCCATATTATATTACATTGAGACTTACTAAGTGAATTCGGAAGGATTGATTTCATCTTCTCTATTGCATCATCACTAATGATCAATCATATTTTTATCATAATGATAAAAATATAGGCATATCCCAAAGCTGCTGCCATACAAAGTGGTTCAAGAATAATGAACATTTATCGACACTAAAGAGCAAGTCATTGGAATCTATTGAGAAGAAGTCAGTTTGCCAATATTTTACCTAGCAGAGACATTCAGCAGTTTAAAATGACGTAATAAAACTCAAGTATTGGAATTCTCAGTTTTCCTACTGAAAATATCGATTACCTATCAATTATTTGTAGAAAATTGTATCAAATCATATCCAGAAATAATTTATCCTTTAAATCTAAACTTCATGCAGTTTCTTTTTGCTAGAGTTGAGTTCACTAACAAAAAAAGTTTTACATGTATTAGAACAAATCATAATCCATCACATAAAATTCGATTAAAAAGATATTTCAATAATCTGATTTAATCAAATATAAAATTGCATCATTGCTCAAAAGGGTACCTTGAAAAATTACGCTAGAACCAGTAAGCAACTATTATATTTTAGTATCAGTTCTATACATAGTGGTAGAGTGATAGTTAGCTAAATAGCGGAATACTGTATTTCTGCCAAGAAATGCATGCGTGAAGTTGTTAAAAAGATACTTTATACATATATCTAGTGACAGTATATGTTTTTCTATTCTTTCTCGTTTTTTTTATTTTGTCTTTTCATGTCCTCCTTTTCGTTTATACATATACTGTTGTTATTCTCATTTCTTTTATCAGATTTAAATAAACCATCGTATGTGAATTACATATACACAAACGCATACATATATACACATATATATTTAGAAGACGAAAAGGAACGTGTTAACACAAGTCTAGAGACATTTTATATTTTACTGCCATGTGACTTCCTCCTACAAATCCACTTGTAATTGTAGATGGCAATAAAATAATGATTGGACAGAGTCGCAAAGGATTAGCTAAGAAATCGATTTCAACATATCAACACAAAATGGAAAAACAAGTTTTAAACAAACTAAGCTACTTTTTCCAAGGAACACAAAAATCTAATATCACTAGGAACTATACTCCAAAATGACAGAAGTACTCTATTGTTGATACATATTGTTGAGAATAACTTCGTCAAATTATATTAAAGCATGATTTTTCTACAACATTTATCCAAAGTAGTTAGTCAAACCCAATTGTTTGAATACAACATGTATTGTAACATAACTAAATGACTGCTGAAGTTTTCAAGTAAGTATGAGAAATACGTCATAATTCTTACGTATGATTCCATGCCATGTCCAGAAAAATATAGTAAAACACAATCATTATCATCAATTGTTGTACAAAAGTCTCTAATGGCAATATCCATATCACGTTTATTCAAATTATGATATTTAGTGCATTGAAAACCTAGAGTATAACAAAAAGGAGAATTTAAAAAATTTCGTTTCTCATTAAAATGACACTCATAAAGATTCACCCAAGTTCTTTAAGGCAACTGCCATATTGTTTGCATCCTTGACACAACTTTTTAATTTTGCTGTACCATTGTAGTCCTCATTTCCGAAGATCAAAGCTAGTCGGCGTCGATCCATATTCAAGTCTTACTCTTAATCTGAAACACACGCAAGGAAACTAATGTATTAGGTACATGGAATCAATTCTCTTGAAGAGTTTGATATTAAATGCTGAATACTTGCTGTGCTGAATATCAATGAGATTTCTCATCACTTTCTCGAAAATTGGATTTCTATATAATCGGTATTTTTCTTTATCTAATTAAATATTGAGAGATGTTTAAGCCGCCACACTCTAAAAAAACAATCACAAGGTAATAAACTTTTATCTTCTAAATACAATTTTTCATAAAACTATTTAGAACATGAATGTTACAGCAGGTTAATTTCTGGTTTTTCGCAGACAAACTGTTATGTAATAGATATCAATGATGTTGATCAATGTTGTATCAATTTGTCACAATCATAATATGACCAAAGCACAAAAAAAAACATGAATCTATCAACTCCTAGTGTTTGAAAATAATCCATACAAGTATGTTTTTGATTTTGTCGCGATACTTAATCGGGCGTTAAGATATTCTCTAGATACAATTGATATGTACATCAGGCTTAATTCTTAGTTAAAAAATGGTTTGAATAATAATGACAGTGATGTAAGAAACATGAGATGAAATAGATCAGAAAATCATAATGAAGCTAAAGTAGATGTGTGAGATCCAAGTTTTAACTCACTGTAGGTTTACGTAACAAATTTAGGATAACGAAGCTATCTATCTATTCCTTTTGATAGAACAAAGAATAAATAAGATCATCTTGGTTTGTTATTCTACAAATAATGACGATATTTTGAATCGAAGATATATAATAATTCAAAAGTGCAGAATTCACTCATGAAAGTTTCTCGATTTTTTTCCAAATTAAAAACATTCAAAATGTATCATCAGAGTTTTAGCAGCGAAATCAATATTACTCTATCTTGTCATGTCGATAGTATTCCTAGTAAAGTAGCTATATTGGCTCATACTATACAACAAAATTTTTGCATGTTCTAAAAATGGAAAAACTACGTTTTAATCTTAAATAATATATGCCATAATTCTTCTCAACTAACGAGAAATATTGTTCCGAAGAAAATATTTCTGTTTTCTTTATACTCTATCTTCTATTCATGTAGGACCAATTGCACGAAATACTAGGAAGCCGATATTTCCATGTAAACTTTTTGTAATGAATGTGAAGTTGTAAGAATACACGCAACGGCAGTGATATATGATGGATTCTGATCAATTCTCTTCAGTCTAGCTATATGTTCGTAGAGTTTTCATATTCAATAGACCAAAATACATCTAGCTAAGTTCAACGATCATCTCTTTATTAACTAAACATGATGTACAGTAGTATCAATCAAAATGGAAGCAAACTAATTTTGTAATATAGAGGCATAATCAATGAATACAGACTACGAATTAAGAGACATTTATCGATCGATCATCCAAAATAAAAGATAAATTTTGTGATCAATTTTACATGTGAGAATCATGTCTAATGTGCAGATCATATTAGCATAATATGTGAGTTAGTCGATAGAGTTCTTTGTATTTTTAGTATTATTCAAATAAGTTACTCACCACAACAAAATGATTAAAACTTGAATATACGAAATAAGATTTATGCTACAACACTGTTGATCATGTTTGCTCTTCTGTACGCAATCCTGCTTGCATTTTTTCTCGAATGATTTTTTTTTCTTTTACCTTTGCAACGACACAACATTATTCATTTCTTACCCTTCGTTATTTTGTCCAATTTTCTTTCTTTTTCTTTTTTCTTACTAACATACCCTATCACGAACAAGTTTATACAAAATGCATACGACCATACATGTACGTAAAACCATGTGATTCAGTGATTTCGCACATCATGAATATTACACACGAAATAAAATAAAAAATAGTTTCTTTTTTCTTAAATTTTAATATGTTATCTTCATATATGGGTTAAATCAGCAAAAATGGGACATGCACTCGATGTATTTGAAAGCAATTCTCTATCGATACAGTAGTGTCAAACCTGAAAGTTGAATTCAATTATTCATTTTTTATCGTCTCCTCCGAACTTCCTTCTCTACACCCACATCTGTTCACGTGATGCGTGTGTGTGTGAAGAGAAAATGGAATAATTGAATAGTTGAAGTAAATTTTAAATAATTGAATTCAATTTTCAGGTTTGATATTTATGGACCTGAGTCTATTTTCGTCAGACAAATTAAAATTAAGGTAAATGGGAAGAAGAAGAATTTGGGGTGGAATCTTTTATGATCCTTGTTTGGTGTATATATCTTCCTTCAGTATTCTTTCTTTTTAAATATCTCTTCATTTTTATCAAAAATTAATCATCACATCAATATTGTTCTTTTCCATTTTGACCAAGACTAATCCTATTCAAAAAGCTTATTGATTTATTTATCAAAGGACTAGAAGAATATAAGAAGTAGAACAGTATGAGAAACAAATTCTATCAATTATATTTGTGTTAAAATCCATGATTATATATCATCAGTTATCGTTTTTTTCTTGTTTAGTTTGAATATTTTTCCGTATTTTTTGACAAGCTTATCGAATACTTTCAACAATATAAATTTTTTCAACAAGATTTTTTTTTCGAATTGTGAATCATATTTACATATTATAAATCCGGATACATTTCACATCTAGTAATAGGTCTATCTTGTTGAGAAATAATTCCAATTGATATTGTTCTTCATTGGAAATGTTTTCCGTATTCATGTATAAATGAAAATGTCAGTTTATAATCCCATCGTGAATTACTAAAAAAGAATTATATGATGCCTTTAATTCAGGTATTAAATTAAGCGTTTCTTTTTTATAAAACTTTTACGAATTGAGTTTTATCCTTTGAATATATTTGACAAGAAGTTTTTTCAATAGCTCAACGAAGATCTTTGCGACTAATAGATTGATTTAGTTCATACAAATTAATAAAACATGCTTGAATTTAATCAATACTTTTAGATATTCATTTTTCTTTATTTGAATTTAAATATTTTTATGTGAATCTCTTTATGAGAAGACTATTATTTATATAGTGGCAACTTGGGGATATATATATTTACTACCAAAATACAATGTGACAAAAACAAAAATAAAATAAGATTAAAGATATTCTTTTATAGCAGTTTTGGACACTTCAAACGTCATTGTGAGTTAAGAAAATGAATTGGTATGATGGCGAAATAATAAAACAAATCTTCACCAGCAGTGCTAACATTGCATAAATGAAGAGTCACAGAAGAGTCCAGCCTAAAATAAAAAATTTGTGTTGAACGTGTCGTAGCCAATTGCCGATTGAATTACGTACTAGAGATGCGATCGGTTGGCTTTTTTGCCAAACCGAACCGATCGAATTTCAAACATGTCATAATCGAACCTAGTTTAGAAAAAGCAAAGTTTACATTATGTTAATTAGGGTATTGGTGCTTTATAAATTAGCAACAACAAATCAAAAAATAGCAACTATCAATAATGAACATTTAGAGAAAGCAAAGAAGAGAGATTATTTATTGGATCTTCTTACTGTATTATAACTTCCTTACCTCTCAGGACAAATTTAAAAAATATGTGAGATAATCCGCGTTACGAGCAACAGCTAATTGTTGTACGATTGTATTCTTTTTTTCTTCTTATGTTTCACTGAAGTCCATTGAACTCAAATGAAACGATTATATCGATTCTTTCTAACCAAACAGCTGTATGTGCCATGACTCCAGGTCGTTAGATTACAAGTACAGCTTAATTAACTCTACAAGTTGAATGCCAAGACATTCAACACAGGAAATTTGCCTTTTCGACTTTGATATCACTGGACAAAACTACTTTGCACTTAGTATGCTAAATTCACCTTTATTCAGGATAAACTATTTAGGATCAGCTATATACTATTTATAATGGAAAATGCGTGGGGAGTATTAAAAATTTTAACTTGAATAAATGTTAAAGTTTGAACAAATTAAACAAAATTATATGAATAGCTTTTCACTGAATTCGAGCACGAGAAGATAATAATGAATATTCTCTAATATCGTAATTAAAGAGTTATTGTATAGAACCTTTTTTAACATGCGTTATTTATGTGTCATGATGAAGAGTAAATTTAGAAGTAGTTGGATAAGCTAAATCAGAAAATTGGCGTTTATTTGGATCATAGACAAGATCGTTAGGACCGTGTATATGTTCGTCAATATTAAATGATGAACGAAGATCATTAAAAAGAATTTTTAAATTGAGATTTTTATCTAATTGATGATGAACTTGTAAAACAAGAAATGTAAAATATGTATTGCTTAAAATGTTATTAGTTTGGTTGACTCTCATGTAAGTAAAGCTATGCAATATTTCTTTCGAATTACACGTTCAAAGATGAAACATGTTTTTAGATTTTGTATAAAAACATCGTAAAAAGTTTTCTTGATCAATATGTATCGAAGTCGAGATATTAGAACGATAATAATACGTGTTCACAAGGTTTAAAAAGTAAATTCATACAAGTTCTTGATTATGATATATTACAACAAAGACCTTTGCTATATTTTATTAACCAAAAACAAAATAGTTGTTCAAGTTCTGCGATTTACAATAGAATAAGAAAACGTAAATGTTTACTTCAGTAGTATATCAGAACACACTACTAATCTATGCTATATATAAAAACATACATTCAATAAAACAATGAATTATATCTATGCCTTTGTTTGATTTGTTTATCTATATAACAAATTGATCCGAAATTCTGTGGAGTTCAAACCTCAACAATATAAATATATATTTCTTTTAGCACTAATTAGTCAATTACTAACTTATTTTACTAAGTTTTTATGTGTAATAGATTCTATTTGGAATATTTTTTGTCAAAAAAACTTCTCACCACCAAATCATCATTGTGCAAGTAATACTTCAACATTATCGATTATTTCTAAAATATTTTTTATTTAAAAAAATTAAATGTTTTTCCAAGGATTTTAATTTCGTTTAATAATACGATATTTATAATTTAGTCAAAGAGATAAAATATGTTTCATGGATTTAATTGTATTTGATAAATATTCTTCTGTTGGTAAATTAAATTAAATATTTATTGATGATCAATAAATAATGTAATGTATAGTCTTATGCTTTGTAGAATAATTTTAAGAAAAATTCTATTAAAAGAAATCGAAATTGAAAAGGTCTAATCTAAAAAATTTTTTTTTAGATCTTAAATGAAATATATTTATATGAGATGCTTATCAAACAAATTGCGTGTTTTTGACTTTTTCTTTTGTTGAAAAATTTGATATAACGATTAAAGCATTTATCATTGTATGTTTTACTTGTGTATCATTAGCAAGTAAATAATAATCAAAGAAAAACAAGATTTATGTTTAATTTTTTGTTAATAATTTAGTTTTTTGTGTATTTAATTTTATATGTTCTAAATTATCATTTAATTTTGTTCTTATTGTTTCTAATTCATATTCAAGCTTATTTAATTCAACACATTTTCTTGTTAAAATATTTGAATTTTCTTAACAATGTTCTTTATGAATATTTGTTTAACATAATTTAAGTTTTTTAATAACGTTTTTATGACGATCATATTTACAATTGTCTAATGACTGACTATGAGCTAATTTTTCATATAATTGATCTATTTGATTAAATAAATCATCGATTTCTTTGGTACGATTATTATTCTAGAAAGGATGTGGGTGTGGATGTGTATAAGTACCTCATGTTCTCCAGATCCACATCTCACACCCTCTTTGTTTGCTGTCATTGTTTGTTTGTTCGACATATTATATTGTGCATTTTATTGTTGTCGTGAGCATTACTTCTTAAGAAAGCGCGTGTTTGATAGTAATCAAAGAAAACAAGGTAGAAAGAAGAAAAATAAGAAAAGCAAAGCCATTTATGTTGCAACGATAACAGAGTCATTCAAAAATAAGCGAAACATTTTGCATATACAATATTCAAATAAGTTGGAAATTATTCTCATTGAAATACTTCGGAAAAGTTTATTCAGTTTGTTGTACTTCGGTAAGTAACTTACAAATATGGTTCCTAAGCAGATCTTTGATTTTTTTCATGGTCATACGTATAGAGGATGTATGACTAGAATATTAGTTAGAAGGAATCGAGAAAAAATTCAATGAATATTCATCACATATTTCCGTTTATCTGATTGGCTGATGATTGTTTTTCTTAGCCAGAAGTCTATCAAATGGATTTGTCTGTATTTATCACACACAGACTTATTAATTTAATGGTTCTATCTTGAAAAATTTGGTCAACATGTTAGATGATTAGCTTTCTAAATTTGTGTTCTATCGTATTTACGACCTTCTAGTGATTGTGAATATTGGAATCAAACTATCAAAATAATGTTAGTGGTAATTTCATAAGATAAGGACTGAAGACAATGTTTTCATGCTTCGAAAATTTACCTATGGAGAAGAATAAGTGGGTTTTTAAACAGCGATTGAAACTTTTGGGTAAGAGTGTGGGCGTGAATACGGCAACACCTTCATACTCCACACCCACCCATACCTACACCCCACATCCACAACATTTATTTTATGTTCTTACACAATATTTGGGAAAAAACGACAATGATTCATTTCTTCCTATTAAAATAATGTTCTTTTTTTACGACCGATCACACTATGATGTTTCTTTTATAATAGTCAGTGAATTCCACTAAAAAATGACACATTCAAGTCGTGATTTGAACTTGAATGATGTTTGGGCCAGAGTATCAGAAGGTATTGAACGTATATATCGAATTCGAAAAATGTCACCTCACACCTATCATGAGCTTTATACGTAACTACAATATGATAATTTATTTTTATTTCATTTTCTAAACATTTTACTTTAGTCACGTTTACAATTATTGCACAAATAGTACAACACAAGTATTGTCACCACGACAACCATTAAGACGAGCACAAAAAGTAGGTAGTAATCAACGACAAAATATTGTACATAATGGAGCGAATATTATTGGTGGTGACTTGTATGCTAAATTGAAAAATTATTTAAAATCTTATTTGGAAAACATTTGTGAAGTAAGCTTATTCGACTTAGAAAAGTTAAATAAAAATAAATTTATAAGACTATATGCATGTTTAAGTTAATGCTTACAATGAAAATTTATATTTCTTTATTTTTCTATCATGAAAATTTCTAGAATCTTATGAGAATTATATGAATCATCATATTATGTAAAAGAGAAATACGTAATAAATTTTTATTTAAAATATTGTATTAATGGAATAGATTATACAAAAACAAAAGCATTTTTATCAACACAAATCTATAAGTGTGAGGGAATGTCTTCATAATAAAAATTTTCGAATATAAATAAATTAAAGAAAGAAATCTTAACTGATAGTTAAGATATAAAATTTATTCCTTTCTTTTTACTTGTAAAATTGTATGAATAATAATAATACATTATCGAAAATGACGTGTCACTGTTTGTTGATGCAAAAGGAAGAAAAAACTCATGGATGTCTTGTGAGTTAAAATACTAAAAACAGTCTCGGTTTTTTTCAAATCATGAATGACTTATTTTCTTTCGACGTTTCTTACTTCCTTCTTTTTACAAGCTGCTATTTTGAACAAAAAAAAAGCAATATACAATACTTTCTGATGAAGATTTCAGGAGAAGAGATGTCATACAAGATCGAAATATTCGAAATTATAGATAGTACTCAAAGAAATATACATCGTACAAACAACTGTTACTGTTCAATTCTTTATTGAATATGGACAGTACTGTGTGAAAGATCATATTCATCTTGTCCTAAATAGATATTTTCTATTTTCATAGTTTTAAATTGTTCTTTCGAAAGAACAGATTTGATAAAACTTGGATAATTGTTTTGATTGATTGTATAATCATCATACTTATATCAAATATTCAATGGAAGAAACTCAATAAGTTTCTTTGATATTTTTTATAGTTTTGTAAGTCAATAATTTATTATATTTATAATATGAGAGAAATTTTATATGATGTCCGAACTTATCCGTAGCAACAAAATATTTTATTCTTGTTTTTTTTTTTTCATTGATATCATTCGTGTACTTATAAGTATATTATTATGTTATTATGATAGTCAAGTTAACTGTAACCTTTGAATATCCTCATTCGGATCATGTCAATAGTTATTTAAATTATTTTATTGACTTTGAACTATTCTTTTCAATCTTTATAAAAATTATTTCAAAAAAAAAATAATTTAGTTAAAGAATTTGTTAAAAGAAAAAACATCTAAAAAAATGTATTGTTTAACAGATGAGCTAGTCATTTTATACCAATGAAAGTAAATTATAGATAGTAAAAATTTAGTGAAATAGTCATAAGTTATTGTCAAGGCTTTACATTTTACTTATGTTTTTTGAGACGCACTTAAATGTATAAGCTGGAAATAAATAACTCATGCGTAAAATCATACTATCGAAGACAACTTTATTGTCATTTGTTATTCCAATATCCCTTATAAGTTCTAGTAGAATTACTGACGGTCGAAATCATAGAAAGTAATGTAAAGCTAAAAAAAAAAGGAAATGAAGTAATTAACGGAAGATATGATTTATCTTTACGTCATCGTTAATGCCAGACAGTTCTATAGTGTTAGGCAAAAATAAATATATATTTCACTCTCAGGTATATGTAACAACTACAAGTAACACATTTTTTCGGGAGTATTTTTTAATCAAAAAGAAGTCTTTTTTGGTGTTTTTTCGTCTTTCTCGAGTCTCACCCTGTGCTATATAAAAGAGTGCCACACTTGCTCGTGATCATTATATTTCACTCTCAGGTATGTGTAACAACTATAAGTAATAGATTTTTGTTGGATTATTTTTGAATCAAAAAAGTCTTTTTTGCTGTTATTTCGTGTTTCTTGAGTCTCACCCTGTACTATATAAAGGAGTAGTACACTTGCTCGTTGTTATTACATTTCACACTCAGGTATGTGTAAAAACTTAGAATAACAGATTTTTTTGGGAGATTTATTTCATCGAAAATAGTGTTACTTATTTTTTTGAATCTTTTTTGGGGTCCAATCCCTGAGTAAGAGATAGGCTGCACTTTGGACTGGTGCTCATGTAATATGAGATTTTGATTTGAGTACCAAGTAAGAAGAATATATTTATGGGAAAGCATTATTTAATGAAAGCTCTCCATTTTTTACTGTTTTAGTTTCCGTATGGTGTATATATATTGAGGTGACTCGAAGGTATCTGGTGTTAGGCTTAAAAAAGAACTGTGAAGTAGAAAGAGTAGCTCTATATTCGAGTGAATCATGTGTAGCTGCAGAAACCGATATCATTTATGGCGTTTCATATATATTGTTTAAGAAAAGATTCTTTGAATTACCGGTACATTAAGGAACGTTTCCAGTATGCTAGAGGGTTCGAAGGAAATCGGAATGGCGGACGCCTTTTTTCAGGATACTTCGTTTCCTTCCATAATATGCAAAAAGTATCGGCATATGCATGATTGTATGGTGGTTGTAAATAAGAAAAATCATTTCTCCTCTTTTTCACATGTTATTTGAAAGTTTTTTAGCTGTCAGGAAGATCTAAGATTAACTCAGCACATGACTGAGAACAATATGTTTTCGACTTTTTTCCAACTAAGGAATGTTCCGGGGAACATGTTAATGCGTGCCAAACAGAACGCTTCTTTGCTTTTCGAAATCTTGAGCATGATGCTTAAAGTGTCCCGCTATCTTTCGTAGTGCTCCTCTCCTCGCAGTTCTCTTTTTCTTACACTGGTGACATTCAATCACGTCCAAAGAAAACAATCTGGACAAACTCTCAAAACTTTTTTTATTGAGACAAAAGAAATATTAGAATATTCACGATCCCATCTTATTTGCACCCATTGCGACTTTCTCACACTTCTTGCTGCTAAGAAACACACACTCAAAAAGTCTGAAACCAGCCAACTCTCGAGGAAAGATTTTTTTTCTTCAAATAAAAGCACCGAAAAGTTGTCAAGATATATCAAAAAAGCATCACAACGTCTTAAAAAGTCTATCTCTATGGGTTTAAAAATCCCTTTACCATGGCTTGGAAAAGTGTCAAAAAAGTCTCAAAAGTATTTTTCCACGGATTAAAATGAATCTCACACAGTCTCGAATACTCTCAAAAAAAAAATTTTACATGGATTAAAATAAATCTCAAAAAAACTTAAAAAGTCTTTTTCTATGCATTAAAAAAAGTCTCAAAAAGTCTTTTTCTACGCATAAAAAAAAGTCTCGAAAAGTCTTTTTCTATGCATTAAAAAAGTCTCAAAAGGTCTCAAAAAGTCTCAAAAGGTCTCAAAAAGTCTCAAAAAGAGACCACCGTTTACGGTCATCGTCTACTGTGGCCTTATTTAATAGTATATACGGGCGTAAACGACAGTAAACTACCATGTGCGTCGGTGAACGGTTGACGTTATGGCGTATTTACGGTCGTGTACGGTGGCCGTATAACGCCGTAAATGTCATGGCGAGTTACGGTCGTAATACGGTCCCACGAAATACGGCGAAGATACGGTCGTTTACGGCCGTAATTCTGACGTATACGGCAGTATACGGCGCCGTAAACGGGCGTTTACGGCTGTATATGGTCGCCGTAATCCTCGTTCTGGGCCTACTTCGACTTTACCTGATTCCTCAAACAAGGTGCTTCCAGGACTGATTACTGATTCTTCCGAGGACCTATTAGAATAGAAGAAACGACGATTTTCTCAAGATTTTGTCAGTATGAAGACTAGGACCTTCCTACAAGAATTCATTCTACTTTTTATATAAGTCAGCAAGGACAATTAACAGCAAAGGCTTTGGAGTATAGATGTAAGGTCTTGTTTAAAACTACAGCACTACCCAAGTCTACACATATCTTGATAGAATCATGGTTCCAGCCTTTGGAGGATGTTGAGATTCTGTGGCAACACTTTTCCTACGACATTCGTGTGCGCGTGCCAAGATACTAGAAGAAATTTGATAACAATCTTGTCACAACCTTAGGATATCTTGGGGCAAATTATGTCAGAATTATCAAATCGCGTAGGTGCAACGTTTTTGTTTTTGATCGAGTGACTTTCTCATGAAAAAATATATGAATCTCTAGAGGATCTTTGACTTAGACGAAAAATGTTGAAAGTGAAAAATGTCT